ACAAGTATATGAGTAGTCCATAAAGGAAATATGGTCAGTTTCTTAAATGATACACGGATCCCTAATTAGCCAGCAATCAGACAGGTGATTGAGGGCCCATTAATCCAAAATGACCTAGATGCCAAGGTTAGATCAATCCACAACCTGGGCAATTGAGACACATCAACTTTGTCCATTACCCTTCCTCTAAGTATTATGAGCCTGTTGAACTTTGTGTCCATCCCCCCCTGTTACAATTAAGGATGACAATCTTATATGAGATTTGACTCCTAATGGCCAGTTCTCAAATAGTTATGCTTTCTCATTCCTAAGCAGGACTGACACCAACCTCCATTGTGGTGGGGAAGGCTCCTTCAAATGGATCTAGAAGCTACAAGCCCCCAACAAAAACAAGTACTTCATCTGGCTCCTAACCCATAAGAGACTCCCAACTAGGAGCTTCCTCCACTCTATTGGAATCAATTGTATCCCACAATGTCCTTATTATAACAATGGACAGGAAACCATTGCCCATATTTTCTTTGAATGCCCTAATGCTGTCCATTTCTGGTATGAAATTCTATCAAAATTTTCAAGGAATAGTTCACATAATGCTCCAGTTTTCAATGGCCATCAGTGGCAATCAACATGGAATTTTATCAAAAATTTCCCCTTCAACAACTATATCTTTTGGGACAATCTCATTCCCTTTTGTTTGTGGTACATTTGGTTAACCATAAACAACAATTTATTCAATAATAAGAACGAACACATCAATGCCACAAACACAGTCTCAAAAGCAACTAAATACCTTATGCTTACAAAGAATGACTCAACAAAGGTAACTCACCAGATCTTGTTAAAATGGGAACCACCAACTAGGGGATTTTACAAACTAAATACAGATAGAGCAGCAAGAGGGAGCCTAGGAATATGAGGATCAGGAGAAGTATTCAGGAACCACAATGACAACTGGATATTGGGTTACATGGACAATATACCTCACACAACAGACACTAGGGCAGAAGTACAAGCTCTCATACAGGGTCTGCAACTAGCGGAGCAAAACAATTTAGTTCCATTGGAAATAAACACTCATTCAGTTGAAACAATCAATATGCTTTTGAATGGAAATCTGATTTATGACTCTCTAATTTGTGAATGTAGGTCAATCATCTAAAGGATGGACAACGTGGTAGTGAGGCACATATACCGGAAGCGTAGAGTAGTTGATGCATTGGCCAAGGAAGCAGCAAATGAAATATTTTTGAACAAGTCTATGACATTATCAATTCCTCTAATGTTTGTCAATGATGTATTTTGGGCAGACATCCTAGGAACTGAATTAGTTAGATCTTTTATGGGTTGTAACTTAAACACAGTCGTGCATAACATTACAACTACGAGGTTTCTTCGATACTTTATAAATGCCCCTGATGTAGTTCCTTTTGTTAACTAGCATATAAATACTATATCCCTTTAACCAAAAAACATGACTTCTTTTTTTTGAAACAATTATGATGTATCTAAGTTTTTCCTTTTTAAAATTTAAAAATCGATTTAACAAAGGAATGCACAAGGACTAATTTGAAATTTAGAAAAAACTTTAAGTCTTTCATTATACTGTGTCATTCTGAATAGTTAAGAATAACTAAATAATACGAATGAAAAACTTTTCTGTTCATAAAAGCTTTTATCAAATTTGTCTATGTATATGAACAAATTTCTTTTGAGGAAAAAAAATATGTAAGTAAGTATTTTATAAACTAGAAGAAAAAAGTTGTAACAACGCCAAAAAACTTTAAGTAGAGGCCAAATATATATACAACCCATTTAGCTTGGTCTCATTTTTTATTTTGGCACTCTATCTCAATCTTGTTTCATTTTGGTCCTCTAACTCTATTTCTTATGTTTCACTTTAACACAAAAGCTGAAACCAGTGCAAAAAATATAGCGCATATGTATATACAAATATGAGGTGTAATAAATATCCAATTAAATGTTGCCACCTGATTTTTTTATCTATATCAAAAGGGTCAATACTAAAATACCTGAACCCGACCGTATTTAGGTAAAATTACGTCCACTTCTTATTTACACAAGAAAATGACAACACTGAAAATGAAATTCGAAAGTGATTCACTTACTTTGTCAAATTTACACCCATAAAAGCGATGACCTAGATTTCTTGGTGTCCATGATACTTTCAGTTCAACTTGAAATCCATAAGAATAAATATCCATTCATGAGACATAGATGCACTTCAAACTTCAAGTTTAGGTGAAATAACCCCCCCCCCCCCCAAAAAA